TTATCTGGTTTTGGAATAATAGATATAATCACCTTTGCAAAATATGGCGGTAAAATCCCAGTATTCATAATTTCATTGGCACATGACAACAAGAGTGGACCCACCTGTTCCCATAGCATTTTATATAATCTATATCCGGCACCATCATCTCCAGGTGCTGATTGGTTTGAGCATCTTGTTAACACCAGTTTCAATTCATCAAGCGTAATATCTTTTTCTAATTCATCTGATTTTTCTAAAGTGAGACACTTCGGAAATCCTTCTAAATATTGATCAATTAATTCTACATTATTCAGCAATTGTTGATTCTTATACAAGTTTTCATAATATTCTTGAGCCACACGTAAAATACCCTCCGTATCATCGACCATCCCCACATTATCACGTGTATGTAATTTTTCAATAATTGGAAATGAATGAGTCCTGCCTTTAAATCTTTCATTTAAATCCTCAAAAATGGTGGATTGTAAGGACTTCAGAACTTGATTGTTACACCTACGCCTTAAGCGAAAAGCTGTTGGAATATTATCTATAAATTCTTCTAAATTATCTGCAGGAAGCAGTACAAGGCCCTCCACAAATGATTCATTCTCAAGTAATCTATCCTTAATAACAAAACGCTTTTTCCCCACAATAAGCTTTGGATGATTGGATAATACCATAAAAACACTAACTGTATCATGCGTACTCAATACATTGTCCTGTTTATGCTGTTGATATTGATAAAATGAAGATTTCATATTTCCACTAATATATATACGATCTAACCGTCGACTGTTAGCGTTATGATGATTTGTAAAATGTTGCCTCCTTGGAGCTAAATGACGAAAAGTATCCACAAGTTTATTTCCTTTAATAATATACAATAATTCTCGAGTTGCTTCTAATTCTGGATTAGATAACGGAGTCTGTAATTCACTATCAATTTTCGTATCAAATACATTATTAAAATCTCCTCCCATAACCATCTTAAGCCTTTTGTCACTATGTATACATTTATATTCCTCTATGACAAATCGTAATTCTTCAAATAATTCCTTCTGTCCCTGGAAATCACCTGCTGGGGCATAAACTGATATAATAAGAAGGTATTGTTTTTCCCGTGGAAACCATATTAACGCATCAGAGACTCTAAAACAAAATGGAGGTATAAGTTGTTTAGTAATTTGTAATTCCTCAATAATTTGAAATGCCCCAGACTCAGGAATTCGGAAAGCAATAGCTGCCCGAGCCTGTACCGACTGGTAAACCACCCTAATTGATTTCATTTGTTGTATAATCTTAAGATTCTTCTTTGTAGTTTCTTGAATGAGTATAACATCCGTGTTATATAATAGCGATTGTAAATTTTTAATAACTGAAGTATTTTGAATGTTTTTAGTAGTAATTGTAAATTGGTTGAGAGGATGAATAATCTCATCCATTCCCTCAAAAATAGTATTCGTTAATTGCAAACCCATATTTGATATTATAATAATAATAAACCTAAAAATCCTATATGGATCATGGTAAGGTAACAAAATATAATTAAAAATTAAAAATATTGATAACAATTATTGTTATGCAAAAGATCTTTACACCTCTATTTCTAGAGTTGTTGTTCAGAGATAGAGCTAGAATCCATATCCACATCACTGTCAGAACCACCTACACTCGGTGGTCTAACTTCTTCCATCGGATCCAACTCTATATTATCTTCAATAGCCTGTACATCCACATCTATGGTATCCTCCGAGGCACCTAACGTCCCCTCATCATCTTTCAGAAGCCCCAGCTGCTTCTGTTGATTTTCTAACGTCTGACCCTCCTGTGGTTCATTGATACCCGTAGTTTTTTCCTTCCTTGCAGATGCATGTGTTGCATCCGTAGACATAGAAGGAGTTGACAATGATCTAATGGCCTGTGAAAGGCTTGGTAAACGACCTGTGGTTGATTCAGTTAAGGATTGTGTCCTGGAAGGTACTATAGTTGAAGATATCAAGCGTGTTGAATCAGAGTGTTCAGTAGTACTATTAGTGGTAGTATGTTTGGAAGAGACTGGTAAAGTAGCAACATTAAAAGAAGCAGATTGAGATAAGGATGCAGGGATAGGATTCTTGGAAGTTTTACTTCTCCTCAAGAGATGTAATTGCTTTCTGTGAAGCGCATTTCTAACCTTTTTAGTTTGTTGAACTGTAACTGACCTAGTATTCTGAGTAGATGTTGGTTCAATAACCATGTCATCATTATCCTCATCAGTAGTTGATTCCAATACATTGAATTGATTCGTGGTTGTATGAGTTGGAGTTGGTTTTAAAATTGATTTGAGAGTCTTCGTAGGCAATTGCCATTCAGTAGGCTTCTTGGGCTTTGGAGTAGTTGTTGTATTAGTCGATGAACTTTCTTGATATGTTTTTGAGATGTCCGGACACTCAAATTTTGTATGCCCCGCAAGATGACAATAATTACAGTACTTAAAGTACGAGGCAATTTTGACGTTGGAATTTCTAAAATAATGTCTTCTCCCCACAGGTACCACATTACTTTCGGTTTCAATCAAAACAAAGATCTTTGTGCTTTCAGTATTGGGAATTGCATAGTCCAATTGAGGCTCAGCTAACTCACTTGTTTCAAGCACTTTAAAATTTGAAGTAGTTGGAAGCAGAGGATGATCATCTAATGCTTGTTTAATGTAATTAAGGTAATCAATTTCTCCAGTCTCCTTTCTTACCTTTTTTGCACTTAAGCGAATAGAATTCTTAAAGGAATTTGTTTTATTCCTATGATTAATTTCGAAAAATTCATCTAATTCTTGAAGGGGATTTAAATTATTACGTGGGAACGTATACTCTGCTATAAAATAATTACGTGCTTCATTGTTGATCAATTGTAACTTCAAAATTTTATTATTCTTTACTGGAATATCATTGATGGTAAACATAAATTGCTTCAAAAATTCTTCAATTGGTAGCGCAGAGACCTTTTCATATTCTTCTGTTACCAAATTAGAGAAATTAACTAATAAAGTATTAGCATCCATAAGGGCAATTCCAAACATATGGCTTTCCACTGCTGCCAAATACATGACTAATTCCTTCTTAGTTACCTCAAGAGTTTGTATGTGTTTATTCTGTTTTAAAATATCCTTACGAATATCCTCATTCGTAAGTTGACTTGCTCTATCTGGAAACTGATAATCGTCTGGTTGGAGTTGAGTTGTTGCATATGTAACATAAGTAGTGGCTTTTTGAATTTCGTCTTCAATGTTAAATAATTTTTCTCTGAAACGTACTGGTAAATCCACAAACCAATACTTTTTAATAGCATTAATAATTTCTTTTGGAGTCAAATCTGTCTCCTCAATTTTCAACTGTAAATGCGTCTTACCCAAAATCGATTTCACCAAGTGGGGATAACATTTTTTCAAAAAATCATCATCCGCCTCTTTTAATCTAACTAACTCTTGATTCCAGGCTAAGGGGTCCAAAGATTCCTTATATTGTAAAATACTATACAATTTTCCATATTCAATGGATTCTTCTTTGGTAAGCTCTTCATTAGCTTTAATTTTGGATAACAAACACTTAAAAGTATCTGCCCATTTTCTTTCTCTTTCAATAGCATTAGGGTTATTTTTTTTGATTTCATTAATTTTATTATTTTTTTGGAAATTTTTAAATGGAGTAATTTTTTTTTGGGATTTTGGAATATTTTTTGAAACAACTTCGGCGTAGGTCATTTTTTTATTTTTTGGTAAAATTTGATCATCAGAAAAACGAACTGAACGATAAACACCACTGGTGCCTAAAGATTCACTAATAATTGAAGAATTTGTAGAACTTACTGTTGAACACAGTGAACTAGTACTGTCACTAAAATTGTCCTGGTCGTCACTCTCATTACCAGGATCATTTTGCTCTCTTTGAAAATTACTTTCACTTGTCAAATTCATTGTAGTTTGAGCGCGATTTTTTGAAATGTTTTGAGATTGATGATGTTGCGGGGTTGATGTGTTCGATGCACCAACTGGTGTCAACGGATCAGGGGGGGGTGGGATTGGTGGTGAAGGTGCTTGATGGGAACCTGAGTCCCCTAATGATGATTGAGAAAGAATTGGGTTTAGCATTGTAGGTTAGAACTTCAAATCCTTATACGATTCATCTTTTCGAGAATGCATCTTCCTTTGCGAAGCTAGCACAACCATCAAGTGAACCAAAAAAGTTTAAGGGATGCTAATTACATCCCCTATCTATGAGACAACACGTCTCATGAAAGGTGAACGGTTTGATTTCTAGTTCAAAGTTTTGATCTCACAAGATAACTGTAAGAACCTTTTTCTTTTTTTACATATACAATTGGACAAGCAATGTGAGTATGGTTTAATTACTCTATAGGCTACCTGAATGGAATGTATGGAATTGTAGACGTGAAGAATACGCCCATCTGTACTATTTGCAATTGGATTTTTGCGTAGAAGATACGCTACTGCCACCGTTCCTATTAACTGAGAATAGCATACCACTCTGTATCATTTTGCCTTGATTAGCTACTCTTATATTTATTCCATTTCTGCATTTAAAATATGCATAGGCCATTTTTTTTTTATTTTGTCAAAAACGCTACAGGAATAGGAAACCCATTGCTGCAAAAAGTCTGTCCAACACTTCCATTGCGTAAAGCTAAGAAAACTCCGACCTCTCTTGTATTTTGATTGAATTTTTGTTGACACTGTATGACTTGAGGCAATTGATGATTATTTTCAATTTGTCATCGCTCGGTATGAACGGGATAGAGAGGCTATGATTTCATGTGCGAGAAAAGATGAAGGGGCTAAATTTAGAACATGACTTGTTCCAAACGGGGGATTACATTCTTAAGTGAGTTATTGCATTAACTTCCCTTGAATTACAATACCATTGTTTCTTTGTTGAAATCTGGAGAGAGGCGTTCATGGGATCGTGGTTAATCGACAGCAATGATTCAGTCTCTGCATTACGAACTTTTATTTTATAGCCATAGATCTAAATCTAAATTATTTTCAATCCCGTCAGTACCAGGATCATCTTTGAAATCCCCTTTTGATTAATTATCTAAACTAATTGGGATATTCCAACTCCTAGAATGGTCATCGATTTTCCCCTTTATTGTTAAAAATTAATTATAAATCCCCCCTTGAACCTGAAATTTAAACAATCTAAAAAATAAATTGTATTTACGATTATTTTTTTTGACAGGTAGATGGGGCTTTGATTGTTGCAACTTTCACAATATTTTTTTTTACAGTATGCGTCATACTAAACTTTAATTTTTTTTGTTTCAAATACTTGGATCACATTTCCTTTTAAATTAACCATAAAGCAACTATAATATAGAGAGACAATACAATCGGATTTGTCATCTTGTCCCCTTTGTGTATGAATGTAGCATTGTTGACGTGAACTTCCTTACAAAGCTAATAATATGCCAGAAACTGCACCTTCGGGCTTGCTTTCTGGAACTAAGATCAAATACGTCTCTAACTATGGACATGTATAATCTATTAATAGAGATAAAGTTGTCTTAGATATCAGTAGGTTCCGGAATTACAGACCGCTAAGAAATTCCTTGCTGAAATCAATTCCCTTCAAGGTGTAGCCTCGTTAAACTAGGAATGTACATGTACTTGATAGTCACTGGCTATACACCCAACTTAATAGCAATTTGGTTCAGTCTATGGTGATATAGTACTTAAACAATTTTACTGCGTCAAAACGGAAACTAAAACACAGACATTCACTATCGGTGTATTCTGTTCTTTGATTTACGTTATCATTCTACCTTTTTAAGACTCATATCAGAAGAATCAACCCTAACCGCTCTTGATCACAACTCCTCCACAACAGCTCCATTTATAGAAATTTTAGACAATCTTTGGCAAGAAATGTGCCCTTCTTAGGACTGCTATAAGGAGAATTAAAGAAACCAATCTAAGTGTGTTTCTACAAAATCCAACTCAAATTTCTCTTTTCTAATGATAGGACATTTGCATTCAACATGCCTGTAACTCTTTACATCTGTCTTGTCTATACTTTTCAATATTTATTGGCATTGCATCTATGACAAGAAAATTGAAATTGACGAATAAATTTTGGGTGCAACTTCATTCCTTCGCAACCGCCGCATCGAAGCAGCACAAAAAAAATGATGAATCCCCTTTTCCTAAAAATTCATTTCACAAAAAGGAGAAACGAGAAAAGTCTATTGGAGAAAATTACACTTTTAATTTACCATTGCTCCCAATTGAATAATTTAATAGTCAATAATTAATATAAATGCAAATATAACAAAGTTCATAAACAAATCGACCAATTTTTGATATATAAATTTCAACCATGGTTAATCAAAATTCAAGGACAGAAGTTCATACTCCTACTCCTGAAAGTGGCAGGATGTACGTCAGACCAAATTCATCAGAACAATCTTCTTCTCAAGAGCCATCAGGGCTGAGATCAGAGCAGCAACAGCAGCAGCAACAGCAGCAGCAACAGCAGCAATCTGATGATGTATCTTTCCAGGGTGTTATAAAGAAACGAAATAGAACTAAAAAGAAAAAAGGAGCTAATGTTACTTGGGATGAGGAAGTGGTGGATAATGAGAATCTTAATAGAAAGAAATCGAAAATTTGTTGCATTTTCCATCCACAACGTAGCTTTGAAGAAGAATTGGAAGAGGATAAGAAGGAGGAAGAAGATCCTGAAAGTGATAGTGGTAGCTCAAGTTCAGATGAAAGTGACCATAGTGATGATGAAGGTGGTAGTGGAGAGAAAGGAAAACCCAATGCTTATGAATATCAACCTAATTACGAAAATCAATCGAAATTGACTTGAATGCTTTTTGTTGTCTCTTTATAGAATTGTAACATTTATACTAGAAAATGAATGCAATAATAATATTAAAATACCTAGCTAACAAAGTAGACGAAACTATAAACAAAAAATAACGCTATGAATTAAAAACCGATACCTAAAAAATCCCGTGCTACTTAAATCGGCCCTCGAGGGGTAATCAGACCTTGTTCGGGATTAACAACTTTCAACTTCCTCAGATAGTCAACCTCATCATCGAGGGTATTTCTGGAATAAGTGTGATTCAAAAACATTGTATGAGGATCCATACGAGTGTCAACCTCGTTTATTGGAAACATAATCACATTATCCAAACTATCTCCACTGCCTCCACTTCCACTTCTTCTATTCATCAATTTCTTTCTCGAAGAACTTCGATTCACTCCATCTTTTTCATTCGAGAACAATTTGAATAAAGACTTAGTTGAGTCTTCTCTCTTAATTGAAGTAGCGACTTTCTTCTCATTTCCCACTGACATGTCTGAGGAAATTTGACTTTCTTCATCGGTGTAACCATCATCATCATCATGTCCTCCTTTACGACAACAGCAACAATATAAGATGGTTGAAACTATTCCAGCCACAACAATACCTACTGCTGTAAATGTACCTGCTACCTTTCCTTTGTTATCAAAAAATGTAGATTTTTCTTCAGGCGAATTGGATGTGGAACTGGCATTTTCAGTCAGAACACTAGTCTGTGCATGCAACCCAATAGAAGATGAATCATTTGCAGTTGATGAGGGTGAAGCAACATCACTTGGTGTGTGGGTTATATATAATGTCTTAACTGTTTGTGATGTGTTACCATTGACTGTGACAATTGAGTAAACTGTGGATGGTTCAATCACCACCAGTGACGAAGACGTGGATGTGGCGGATGATGATGTGGCTGGTGTTGTTGATACAATCATTGTAACTTTGACAATGTCACTTGTTTCATGGACTTTGGTGACTTGTGTAGTTTGAGTAATTAATGTTGTGCCTACCGTCTTATCTTCATCTTGGTTGCTGCTACTGTCATCTGTTGGCTGGCCCTTCGAAACAGTCGATGAAGGATTACTTAGGATTATATATCCATAATAATTATTGCCTGCACAATTCTCCTGCTCGCTATATCCAGGGCAACCAATATTACAGTTCGTCATCGAGACTGTGTCTCCAGGTACATCATCGGAACAGTAGCAATCGGTCCCTGATACGATGGCTACGGCAAAATTCTGTCCTAAACAATTATCATGACATAACCCATTTGACATGAATTCGTTGATTAATGGGGATGAACCGCTTCCAAGGTTAGTTTTAGAACAGTACTTAAGTGATAATGCATGTGTTGTAGATGATAATATCCATATTAGTAGTAGTGCTAAATTAATCATTTTCTATTCATTGATCTACTGTCCTTTTCTTTCTTGATAATGCAAATCTTAATAAGGAATTGTCTTTCTTCGATATGATCCTTCTAGGGTGATCTTCGTTGAATGATAACTTGTTGTTAGTTGTAAAATATAGAATTGGTGTGAAAGTAAATTGGAAATTTTTATGAACCTGAAATTGCGAATATTATTTTTTTGCCAAGTTCTTTCCTGTTGAGACTGTTGAAAAAGTTCTTGCCGTATCTCTGATGAGTTACGATTAATTGAAATGTCTTTTGTTAGGGGAATAAGAGTGTCTGTTGAATAGGATATGAAAAGAAGAATTTATCTTCTCGTGGAATTCTTGAAATGTGTGTTGGGAAAGGGTTGGTGGTATAGTGTTGTGGGCTATATCTGATGGCTTTTGTTTCCTTAAAATAGATTGGAAAATATTTTTTTTGTTTCGGGGTGTTTATTAATTAATCTCTTTTAATTTCCTATTTAGAAGAGATTTTTTTTTTGATTATGTTTGGATCAATTCTTTGAGGTAACTATTGTACCTATAATTAAAGACCTTTGGGAATGAAGCGAAAGTGTAAGTATGCTTTCTCCGATTGACTTGAAAAACAAGGAAATTCAAAAGATATTTATAAAAAATTAGTTGATTTCAAGGAGGTGCAAAACATTTTAATTTATTTGAAAATTTAAAAATAACTCCCTTAAATTGCATACATTTATTGTTTTAACTCAGTTTTATTTTTTTGGTTTTCTTTCACTTACATCATCGTAATAGAACGATGCACAAAAAATATTTTTAACCTTAAAGAAATTATTTTTTTTCTCTCATACAACTGCCGGATCTCAAATGTTTCCTCCTGCGAGATTTCTTTTATGGTTCCAATCTCCAGAAAGGGCTCCCAATTTTATTGAAATAACATAGTGCAACTTGTTTGGAGAATAAGCACAGATGCATATTGATGTTCTCTTGACCAATAGGATGAGGGGATATCGGCAGTTTCAGTCTTCTATGCTTTGTGTAAGTTATTAAAGTTTGTGTAGTTGTTCTATGCGTTTGGCTACATGCCTCGGCAATCTCCAAAACCTTCCATTTTCTTTCCTAGTGGATTTTTTTTTTCACACATACCTTTCTTTTTCTGCTTTACTCCACACAAGAAAGGGATAACCCAGATCCACTCTCGCTTCATAATCTTGATTGCCAGAATTGCTCATGAAGGTTCCAAATAGGAATGTAGATGACCATAAAAAGATGGGGAAAGACCTAATAATATGATCCTTGGAACAGCAATATTAAAATTTCAAGGAACAATGAACTTTTTTTAAATTTCAGTTATAGAAGATCCATCGCAATGAATAATTTTATTTTTTCTTAACCTCACTAGAATGGAACACTGCCAATTGAAAAAATAATAAACTCTTTTAAACTTTAGTTTTTAAAATAAAATACCGAGAAACGCTAGATACGGGATGGGAGAATGGGGGTAAACAACTTGATTTTAGACATGTATTGTTTTACAGAAAACCAGGGTTTGAATGGATTCCCTAATCAGTCAAATAATTGCTCCTTTCTGACCTTTAGATATCTCGGTCTCAATATAAAATCGAATGTTCCCGTTTCTTTGTAACTTATTTTTGTCTAAGAATCGACGAAAAGGAAATCGGGCGTATCGTTACACCTATTTCTTGGGTTCATCAGCTGTACCCACAAAATGTTTATTCTTAATTGAAAGTTTTAGATTATGCAGTTGGGCTACAGTTGATTTTAAGTTTCATAAGTTTTCTTTATTAATATGTCCTTCGCAACCATGTGACAAAAGGGATGATAATATTGGCAGTACATGCTTGTTGTTTACTAGTGATCATATAAAGGCATTGGATTTCCTGATTCTATCTTCAATAATTAACAACTTCATACAAGAGCATTATCAACTAGTGGTATAATTGAACAAAATGGAACTCTCTTCTTTGGAGATTGAAAAGACAAACGAAACTAAATTGTCAGGTATTAATCAATAATCAGGAGGGGATAATCCCTTTATAGGTAAATTGTCGTACTACCATAGTGTAAGATGTACTAGCGGCTGTTGTATCCTAGTGCTGACCGTTCATATTGGTTGACGTTTAGAATGCTCAAAGTTTTACAACACTTTCTCGAATAAAGAGAGAAATTAAAGTTTTGCAACAATTTTTTTTTGTTTGTTTGCGATTTAAAATTATCAACCAAATTTTAACCTCCAAATCTTTTAAAGTTTACAAGCTCAAGAGCCTTGCCCTTGACTCAAATCATGGCACTTGCGAGTGGAGTCAAACATTTAACTTTTGCAAATGTAACATAGTTACCACCTCCCTCCTTCTGAATAAATAAATTAATTAATATTACTCCCTAAAACTTGTCTATTTACACTTCTAGTTTTCCTGATTTTATTATACCACGTTCGATCATTACTCTCTTGGTGTGTTCATCAATTCCTTCATATGCCTTAAACACCCTATCTCTATTCCTATTGCTAGTCATCCTTGAGCCTCGATGCTTTAAGATTCTAGAAAGTTCATCTTCTGGGATCCCCGCAGTGTTTGATTCTGTCAGGAAAATCGCCTGGATTTTACTTTCTGTAGGCTTGAGGGTTAAGTAATCATGTCCTATATGATACTTAATTTCATTCCATTTTTCTCGTTCTTCAATTGTTAACGGTTCCCACAAACGTTTTAAGTCTTGAAATTGTCTAAGATATTCGATCTTCGCTTCAAGCTGAACAACATCCCATCCCATGATTCTTTGCAAGACCCTATAATTTTCTGGTAATGTAGTTTTATTATTGGAATATTTGACAAAATCAATCGATAGTCCTAGTTTAGATGTCGCCTCAGAAAAGAGGCATCTAGTTAAGAACGAAAGCTGTGGAATATTCTTAACTTCTTTCAATAATTGATTGACCAATAATTTATATATATATGGAATTTTTGCCATATCGCAATCTGGGTACTCTTCAACAAAATTCACATAGAATTGAAGCATGATATATGATTTATGTTCAATCTTTTGGTTTCTATATAACCCCTCAAGTAAACTCTTCAAATTATACTCATCTTGATTTAAGTCAACCCCTTTACAATCACTTTCATTAGTTATATGCAACCACTTATGATAAATGACTTTAGATACCATTCTGAAATCCTGCTTCCAGTTAGCATGTCCTAAATCATGCTCAATGAAATATATTAGTTCGTTTGTATCTTCGGTTGTTTTCATAAAATCGTCCAAAATCCTAACTGTCATGCCTTTTGGTATTGGGACACCATTTTCTTGCATGGTTCTCAAAAATTCCTCCTTCAAATGAACATTTTGAATACAATCATAGATTCTACTATATGTTTCCAAATTTATATCGATATGTGACCTGTCGGCAATTTGTAAAAAATTTAATATTCTAGCAAATGGATTAGACACTGCTCGTATTTGCGTCTGCACTTTGCAGACCTTCAATAATGTATTTATGGTGTCTATATTTAACAGGTGCCCGTCTTCTCGAAGCACCAAAACTAATTCCTTAGCAAATAAGCTTTGATGTTTAAGAAACCCAAAATAATTGATAAGGTAGTTATAAGTATCTGCCGATCTATAAGGTTTAAATTCTTCATTTGTGATTTTATGGGTATATAATAATATTGACGGTATGATTCCAGACAGTAATGATGATGAATTTTTGTAGTGGTAGGTGTTATGAGTTAATTTATAAATCCATTGGCGAAACAGTTCTTCAGTTAATGGAGATGGCAATGGTGGTATCTCTCCAAATTGAATTGCAGCACCATCTTTGATATTGGTCGGTTGTTCTTGTTGGTTTAGTATATACTCCAAATAATACGTATTTTTATAATCTACATTCTTCAAATTGCTTGGGGTAATTTCAATTAAAAACTTCAACATTTTGCCGTATAGATATCGGTCTCTTATATAAACATCCAATCTATCTCTTGGACTCTGTGATTTATTCTTAAGCCAATTTTTAGTAGCAGTTGCACTCTCATATTTCTCTGTTCTCACACTATGAGATTTAAGATTGGCTATATTTAATGGACGCAAGAAATCACTGAATATTTTTTGTTGGAAACTGGTATACACTGGCTTAAACTTCGCGAGATCTTCCGGTTTGAAGTTCTTATCTTCTTCGAAAGTTACCTTTGCTTCTCTTCCAGCGGGATCAGTTAATGAATTTCTCGAAACCTTGCTAATAGATGATGAGGTCGGTTGTTGACCCTTTTTGAATGATTCCACGTGTTTCAACGTTCGGCCTATTCGTGATATCGTATCTTTGATAGATATCATTATCTACTATGTGCATGAAAGTGTCTTTGTTCAGGTTTCACTATAGGAAGTGTATCTTCAAAAATTTTCATCTTTAAAGTCCAGTGCATTACCGACCATGTTTTTCCAACAAAGTAGAGTCACGTGCGAGATTTTTTCGCATAGGTTTTTTTTTCTTTTCTGTACTTCAAATTAAAATCTCATCGAAGTTGAAAAAACACATTTTAATCGTTTCCTGGATAGATTACCAACTAACAACCAAATATGGCATCACCACAAAGAGAAGGTTTCAGTATCCCAACTTCCATTTCCCATGCTGCTTTAGGTCAAGTTACCAGCAAGTCTTTAGGTGTCAAATACAACTGTGCTCAATGTGCTGCTTCCTTTTCATTAAGTAAGAATGACGCAATCAGATGTAAGGAATGTGGTCACAGAGTTATTTATAAAGCCAGAACTAGAAGAATGGTACAGTTTGAAGCTCGTTAGTATTGATGTTGTCTAGGCATGCAATTTATTTCTTGCTTAATGAAGATTTTGTGAGTCAGCATAGTTTTTCCAAAGGGTGTGTCGAAGGCATGGTTTCCCAATGTATAAGCACAAATGGTTCGTTGCTGAAAATGGATAGAAAGGTTTATTTAAGAGTATTGTATTATAGTTATCAATGAATATTTTCATGTTTGGATCGTTGAGAAAGTGGGAAGAGTACTTATCAGTGCCCACCCCAACTCGTTGATTAATCTTATTTGTCTGAGACCTCGTGTTCCAAATTCACAACCCTTTCTCTTTTCTCCTCTCCCTACTTGATATAAGCAAATCAACGTTCGGTTCGAGAAAGCAAGAGCCACGTAGGAAGATGGATCCTTGCATCGACATAGAAACAAATGGTTATCGTTTAAGATTGTAATATTCTGGCAACAGATAAGGTGGGATTTCTGTAAACGTCAATTTCTCAAATGTATTTGTCTTTTCCTCTCATTAACCTATTTTAGTTGGCCGATCCCAGATAGTAGTTCAGGCCTGCTAGGTTCACAGAGTTAACATATTGTTGAATCGCTGGCCCTACTGTCTCATTCACGGATAGGCATTTTCCTTGTATTTACTAAGGTATGTACTGTTCTCCCTGACGTCTCTTGTGGGTAAGAAGTGTGCATTAATGAGCTGGGGAAGAGCAATGGAAAACAAAAACTGAACAGACGGTCTGGAGTGGACTGTGCATGAAGCAACCCGTTTGCTTTCATTGCCTGAGACAGAAAATAAGAAAAAATACCTGAAAAGGTGCTGGATATGCTTAGCTTAAAAAGGTATGGGGTCGGAACGTTGATCTCACGGTCCAATTCATTCGCAAATGGGTATCGTACACCTCCAAGAGTCTTAATAATTATTCTTATACACTCAGTCTCTAAGATGGTTCTGAAATGAGGTTTTAGGCAATGATGCTTTTTGCCTTTAAAGTATATTGTTTTTCTGTTTGTTATATTTCTGTATGTTAGTATGTATAAGAACTCAATAAACAGATTGTATATGTAAAAAAAAGAACTAATAAGTAGGCTGTCTTCTCTTCAACCTGTTCAATTGAGGCAGTTAAATCGGTACCTCGTCCTTCTTTGCAAGTTCCAAAAGTTTCGACGTGTAGGGGGGCGGAACGTTGAGCTCAGGGTCTATTTCATTAGAACGCGGGTATCGTACACATCGAAGAGTCTTAACAACTATTCCTACACACTTAATCTATAGGATGCTGCTGAAATAAGGTTTTAGGCAATGATGC